GTCTTGGTTTCTTATAACACGCAGGAGGGAAGAGTTGTGGATAGATTTATGTGGCAAATATAAACCTAGTGTATTTGCTGTGTAGGAATCCTAGAAATAAACAAATTGATATAGAGTACCACCCTTAAGAAGCTCAGCCTTTCCATTTACAACAGCATTAAAAATAAAATGAGAGATACATTTAACAAAAATTTACAAGATTTGTACATTGAACAATTTGAAGTATCACCAAAAATAATTTAAAAGATCTACATATATGGAAGACATCCCATGTTCATGGAATGGTAGACAATATTGTTAAAAATGTTAAGACTCCCCAAAGTGATCTACAAATTCAATGGAATCCCTATCAGAATTCCAGCTGACTTCTTTGCAAAAATTGAAAAACTGATCCCAAATTTCATATGGAAATACAAGGGACACAGGTCAGCCAAAACATTCTTGGAAAAGAAGAGCAAAGTTGGAGGACTCAGTTTAAACTTTACTACAAATCTAAGGTACTCAAGTCATTATGGTACTGGCATAAGTTTGGATACATAAATCTATGAGACACAATAAAAAATCCAGGGGGGGGAAACTTACATTTAAGGTCAGTTTTCCACAAGGGTGCCAGCAACACTCCATTGAAAGAATAGTCTATTCAACATATGGTGCAGACACACCTGGGTATCTGCAGGCAAAAGAATGAATCTGGAATCTGGACGCTCCTATTATATATAACAAATAAAAATTAATTCAAAATGGATCACAGACAGAAACGTAAAAATTAACTTATAAGCTTTCTAAAAGAATACATAGTATAAATCTTTGTGGTCCTAGGATAGACTATGCTTTCCTAGATACAATACCAAGAGCACAAGTGATAAAAAAAAAAAAAAGGTAAACTGGACTTCATCAAACTTAAAACCATTTGTTACAAAGGATATCATCAAGAAAGTGAAATGAAAGGGGAAGTGGGTAGCTCAAGTGATAGAGTGAGTGCTTGGCAAAATAAATAAACAAACAAACAAACAAACAAACAAAAACACAAACCTAATTACCTCCCCTATAAAGAAATTGTTTTAATGTTTAAAAAAAGTAAAGTGAAACGACAATCTGAGGAAGAGGAGAAAAATTTTGCAAAGCTTATATCTAATAACAGACTAGTATCCAGGATATAAAACAAATGCTTACATCTGACCAATGCAAAGGTATTCGACCCAATTTTTAAACTTGCCTAGGATTTAAATAGATACACAATTGGCCAATAAGCATATGAAAAGATGCTCAGCATCACTAGCCAAATCAAAATCAAAATGAGATCTCATTTTACACCCAATAGGATGGTTATAATCAAAACATGGACAATAACAAGTGTCGGTCAGGAGGCAGAGAAATGGGAACGCTCAATACGCAGCCGTTGGAAAGGGGCAATGGTGCCGATTCTTTGGAAAAGTCTGGTGTTTCCTCAAAAGGTTAGAGTTATCATATGGTTCAGCAATTCTTCTCTTACATATAGTGTCATCCCTCAGTATACTCAGGGGGTTGGTTTCAGGAAACGCCCACCCTGGATTACATAATCCAAGGATGTTCGAGTCCCTTTACAATCAGCCATCTGGATCCATGAAGTGGAAACTACAGATATGGTGGGCCAACTGTACAGCCAACAGAATGAGAACATATTCTCACCAAAATTTGCACATCAATTTTAATAGCAGTATCATTCGGAGTAGCCAAAAGTTATAAACAATATCCATCCATCAATGAATGGATAAACAAAATTATCAGGAATAGTCCCAAAAACCTTTGGTCATTGAAACTTTGACAAAGGAGGTGAAAACATACAATGGAGTAAAGGCAGCCTCTTCAGCAAATGGTGTAGGGAACACTGGACAGCTGCATGTAAATCAATGAAGTTAGGCTACTCCCTCACAGCATAGACAAAAATAAATTCAAAATGGCTTAAAGACTTAAACATGTAGACAAGACACTATAAACCAGTTAGAAGAAATCATAGGCAAAACATCTGACATACATCTCAGCAATGTTCTCCTAGAACAGTCTACTCAAGCAATAGAAATACAAGCAAAAATATACAAATGGGATCTAATTAAACTTACAAGCTTTTGCACAGCAAAGGAAACAATAAGCAAAACAAAAAGACAACTTATGGAATGGGAGAAAATATTTGCAATAAATGAGACTGACAAGGGCTTAATTCCCAGAATTCATAAACAGCTTTTACACTTGATAAGAAAGAAAAACAAACAATTCAATCCAAAAGTGGGCAGAAGACGTAAACAAACATTTCTCTAATGAAAACCTACAAATGGCCAAAAGGCACATGAAAAAATGCTCAATATCATTATCAGAGAAATGCAAATCAAAACTACAATCAAGTATCACCTCACACCAGTGAGAATAGCCATCGTTCAAAAGTTCACAAACAATAAATCCTGGAGAGGCTGTGGAGAAAATGGAACCCTCCTCCACTGTGCTGGGAATGCAGTTTGGTGGAGCCATTGTGGAAAAGAGTATGGAGATTCCCCAAAAGACAAAAAATTGACTTCCCATATGACTCAGCAATCCCACTCCTGGGCATATACCCAGAAGGAACCCTAATTCAAAAAGACACCTGAACCCCAATGTTCACAGCAGCACTATTTACAATAGCCAAGACATGGAAACAACTTAAATGTCCACTGACAGATGACTGGATAAAGAGGTTGTAGTATATTTATACCATAGACTACTACTCAGCCATAAAAGATAATAAAATAATGCCATTTGCAGCAACATGAATGGATCTGGAGAATGTCATTCTAAGAGATGTAAGCCAGAAAGAGAAAGAAAAATACCATATGAGATCGCTCATATGTGGAATCTAAAACAAAACAAACAAAACAAAACAAATAAAGACAAACTTATCTACAGAACAGAAACAGGCACAGAGACATAGGAAGCAAACTATGGTTACCAGAGGGGAGAGGGTGTGGGAACGGATATATTGGGAGTTCAAGATTTGCAGATACTGACTATGTATAGAATAAACAGCAAGTTTATACTGTAGAGTACAGGGAAATATATTTAATATCTTACAGTAACTTATGTTGAAAAAGAATATGAAAATGAATACAGGTATGTTCCTATATAACTGAAGTGTTGTGCTGTAAACAAGAAACTGACGCAACATTATAAACTGAGTAGACTTCAATGAAATTATTTTAAAATAGACCGAAAACAAAAAAAAAAATAAAAGGTACTATTAAACCAAAAGAATAAATTACTGTTTCACGCTATTACATGGATGAACCTTGAAACAGTATGCTTAAATAAACCAGACACAAAAGGACAAATACTGCCCTTTTAGGTGAAGTGTGTCTAAGTGTTCATTGTAATACTCCTGTAAATTTTCCGGAAGTTTGAAGTCTATCAAAATAAAAATAAAGTGTATTATTCATTAAAAACATAAAACGATTCCTCACAGGAGGGCTTTAAATATTAAATGAAGAAATGCTTGTAAAGCTCCTGGAACAACACTTTGCATGTCCACAGTCACTGCTGTCACTGCCACTCAGAGGGTGGTGCCAGCGCTGATGAGAGCTGCCTCCACTCACTCCCCTGCAGAAAGGAGTGAGGGCCTGGGCTCTGACAGGCAGGGTGACCGTGAACCTGGCTCAGACACAACCACACCCCTGACTCTGCATTACCCAACTTTCTTATACAAACTGCTACATGTAACGTAAACACGCTAGAGGGATGTTTCTTACAACACAGGGAATGCAGCCAATGTTTTAAAATAACTATAAATGGAACATCTATTGTACACCTGAAACTTATATCATATTGTAAATCAGCTATACCTTTATAAAAAGTTAAAAATAATTTAAAAATCTTATCACTTTAATATTCAATTCAGTTTTTAAGTAACTACTAAACAGCTTAGAATGTATAAAAGCATTTAAGTGTGATAAGTTGTTTTACATATATATTTAATTTCAGCCTCCTGCTAAAAGGGAAATTAAACAATTTTTAAAACACAGCTTAACAACCATAACAACAAAAAGACAAAAGTGATAGTGAAGAGAAAATGGAGATTCAATACTT